ATATGTCGCAGGATGTCGGGGGGTGGGTGGGGGAGGTCGAATGTGACATAATCAGGGAGAGAATTCGTGTATCAATGGAGGCAGGTCCATTCATACATGATCGTACATGGTCAAAAATGCGTACATAAATGCAAGTGTACTTAAAAGCATGCACATATACACATCATGCATTCAACATACGTGCAGTGGACCTTTATGCCCTGACGGCCAGCTTCTAGCATGAAACAACTTGTTTGTTAAACATGATCTCCTGTAAAACGCATTTGGAAAATCAAACATGTAACATTGTTGTTAAGATGCTGCCCGTTAAGCCGCATTTTTACTTTTTGAACTTCACATCTCGCTTTGGTCGAGTTCCGGGAGTTTCCCGTACGATGTAACCTTGAAAGTTTCTTTAATAAACAATATGTGAAAACATAAGTATTTACAGACTGAAAATGTTAAAAAGGCTAATCTTTTAACAAACCTCGTCAACAGTTTCAAAATTTAAACATTTGAAAATTCCCTTGCGGTTTGAAGGGGGAGCGTTTTAACAGCTTGAAAATTTGAAATACACAAACCTGTAGAATTTAACTTCTTCCAAAATGAAAAAGTTATCATGCCTCTTATTTACATCTTCCCCAAAACGGGACCCTGCACACTTCTGGAAGCCCTAAAGCGTGCATACTTCATACATCCCCTACGACCTCATCAATGAGGGGCTCAACATGCCAAACTCTTGCTTTTCAGGCTGAAGGCACCGGTATCTTGTGTCATGTTCGGGCATCATTGCTTGTATTTCATCCACACAACATCAATGAAACAAAAGGCTCAAGAGTGAATAACTTGGCAGGACACGCTCATTTTGAAACGGGATAGTTTTTCCATGATTCTTCGTGGCGTGACTTCTGTTCCTGTGGGCGACACTGCGGTTGCAGAGCTTGCTTGAACCGCACTCCATGATAATTTCCTTGCAGAGTCATAGAACGAGACTTGCGCTTGCCATGGTGGGCGTTCTGCCATGGGCAGGGTGCAGTGCTGCTGGCGCTAATGCCCAGGCCGAAGTGGCGGACTGGAGGAGAATTTCCTGCACGGTGCAACTGGCTGCAACTTGCGCAGGCCTGGTTGGGTTTCACAGCCCGTTGGCTGTGTGGCGACACCGTCTCGATGCAGGAGCCAAGCAGGCTTCTTTTCCGCAGCTTTGACTCTTGGCGTATACAGGAGCTTTTTGTGCCGCTTGCGGTCATGCAAGGTCCAGGCCACTGCGTGTTCAAGATGGATGTGCAGAGCCTAAAGCACATGGCCAGGACGGGGTCCGGAGAGCCAAGATGCATCACATCCTGTATACCATGCTAAAAATCAAAACGGCTCAACTTGGCATGGCAGGGGGACACTGGATTTGCAGCCATTGGCTATCCGGAAGAGCTACTTGCGCTGCAGGATGCCGAAATCCGGCAACACCTGGAAAAAGAGGACGAGGCCGCTGATATGTGCACCACGACATTGATACACTGATACACCGTTTTGCGTTCTGACCCGTATCGGCCGATCAGCGCACCCCTGCCCCCGCCCGCACCTCCGCACCAATACACCGCCCATCACTGCCACTTTGCAGCCCATGACCGTGCCCCGATGCACCAAGGCCGCATCGACGCCGTCCCACTCAGATGTGCCGTTGAAATATGAGCTCAATCCGATGCAAAAATGCACCGATGCGCCCATACAATGTACATGGTTTCCGAAGTCCAGTGACTCGAGTGATACACTATGAGTTTTGCTGCTCAGAAGTGATCTGACGACATAATAATCAAGTCAGAAAATAACACGTGAGCAGCCCACTTGGCCTTTCCTCGGCTTTTGGGAGCTCTCACGGCGTTGCCAGCGCGAGAGTTTGCACGAGAGAGGCACATGGTGGGGAGGGATGCCGCCTGTGTGTGTCTGCCTCTGTGTTTGTCTTGCCGTGTGTGGCCGTGTGAGTGTGTGTCTTTTGCGAGACCTTCCCTCTTTGCCAATCTGATCGGTTTAGGGTACCACAAAAAAAGGCTTCAGGCATCGGATGGGGTTTCCTTGTGTGGCAACACCCAAACAATATCATCCCCGATCGTCTAAATCAGCAGCTTTCAAAAAATGCAAAGAAACCACGTTCTGCTTCCAACCGATGTATCTCTGCTCGTGTATGGTCCTCCACCCTAACTTCCGATCTTCCAGACCCTGCTGCCAAAGGGTTGGACGTGATATCGTCAAGGGCAGGCGCGGGTGTCGCTTCCTTTTATGTTTCTTTTTTCTGGAGGTGGCGGGGGGTAATTGACAGGAGGGTCTTCTGCGCATCATGGGTTGGGGGGGCTTGCGCCGGCTTCTTCAGAAGCGTGTCAATTTCAACAATTTCAGCCTCAGCCTCTTCTTTTTCTTCTTCCTCCCATCCTCCTTCCTGTCCTTCCTCACCTTCTCCTTTCCTTCGTTTTGCCCCTCGGCAATCATTTCATTATCCTTCTCCTCTTCCTCTTGTTCTTCCATGTCTTCTTCCTCTTCAGCGTCCGCAGCCTGCTTGGAAGAGCAGCTCCGTTCCGTAGCTTTTTGAGCATTTAGAAAAGCTTTGCGACCGATTTTGCCTTAAAGGAGGAAAATCAAGCACACAAAAAAGCTGCTGGTGTAAACCGCCTATATTCTACAACATTAACCCTGAGCTTAGCATGCTTTATAAAACTCAACACATGCAGTACTTTAGAAAAACCATGGCGTCCCTTGGCGTTTGTTCTCGGCGTTCCGCGTCTGCCGCACAACGAAGGGCGTACGAAAACAAGGCCTTGAGGTCTGAGCCATCGGTTATAGCTTCCTGCTTGTCTTCGGGCGTGTAACCAAGCTAGTTCATGCTCAATATGTAGCGTAGCACCAGGCCTCTTTGCAGAGTACTTCTACCGGGATCTTGGACATAGCCGTGGTCAGCACCATCGCTGACACAACCTCTGCGTTGTAACGCAGCGATTTGGCACTTCTGAGAACTTTGGTTCCTTTCGCATCACGCTCCCGCCTCAGCTACTCAAGGCCTTTCCTGCAGCGACTGCGAACAGGTGCAATGGCCTCTCATTGCTGAGCATATCTAGGAAGCCTGTTAGATTGTTTTGTTGGCAGCATCTTGGCCAGCCAAGGAATCAAAGTTTGTTGAAAACAAGCGTTAGAATGCACACAGCCGCATTAGCACTTTACTACACGCATCCTCTTGAGACTACGGCCACCAGCGCCGCAGAGTTGGCTTTCGCTTGAAAACACCCTAGATCTTATACTGAAACAGTGTTTAGAACTACGGGCCTCTCGTCGAAGAAGCCACAGCTGTAAAACGGCTGCGCGGCATGGCCGAGAAACCATGACAGACACCCGTCGAGTTCTCATAAACATTTTTCTCACACTCTCCCAGGCTACTCTGCTTAGTTATAGGGTCGCTAGGGTAGATCAGCCTAAAGATAGGTCATTATACCCAACGCATACCTGTGAGATGCTGTCTCCTGGTCTGGTAAGACAACCCCATGCCCATCTTTCCTGGGCCTTGCCTGGGCATTTCGACGTAGTGGATTGCCTCGAAGCTGCAGAGGCGGATGTCGAGTTTGGGCCGTTCTTGAAGGCTTTTTCTATCGTCTGTGCCTGCAGTGGGTTGCTCTTTGCATTCTTCCGGACAGGCTCCGCTGGCTCCGGCAGTCAAGTCTGAGACTCTTCGCGGATCTTCTTTGCCTGTGCCTTGCCAAATACAAACGCTGAGGTTGGGGAACGAGGAGGCCGCTTCGGTCAAGGTTAGATTCGGTATTCTTTTCATTGAGCTTAGTGTTCTGCCGTGTCCCAGGCTGCAAATCATGCAAAGCATGAGCGACTTCCAAGGACAACCCTGTTGCTTTGCCCCGCTTTCGAGCTACTGGATGCATGGTTCACAGCGCAAATTTGCAGACTGTCTCTGGCATCCACGGCATGCCCCGAAGCGTATTCAGAGGAGCTCCCATGCATTTCTCGTTTGTTGCTATGTTGTGCCGTTGTGCACCATCGCTCGACTTGTTGGTTCAGGCTTACAGTGCTATGGACTCAGATGACGAAGCCGACACCTTGGTTGCATCTACGTGGAAATATCGCGTGTCCAGAAACTGCTCACAGGCATACGCGACTGCTATTCAGCCTTCGCATGCCTCTCCTAGTGACGAGGCCTCCGTCGGCCTTGCCGGCTCCGAAAAGCATTGCTTTTTGTTTTCAAAGCCCAAGATACTCTTCATAATTCGGCATACTGATCAGTTCAGAACATGGAAACACCGCATGCACGAAGGCCTCTCAGGATCCATATGGATACCGGTATGCTCCGGCCAGCACCCTAGTTGGTTAGTTCGACTAGCCTAATGTGCATTCTTCCCGGCCAAGGTGCCGCTGGAGCCAAGTTGCTTTCCGCAGGACCTGCCGGCGGTTGGGGTAGCCCACTTAGGCTTCTTGTCGACAACCCTCGCGTGCCAAGCCGTAATTTAACAAATAGGAGCAAGGACAATGCAGAGGGAAGCAGAAGCGCAGGCATATCAGCCCGTATTCGGTCCGAGCTGCCCCGTAGGTAAACTTATTCATGGGTTTCCGTGTTGGCAGCATTTTTGGGAGTGATTTATGCTTTCGAGGCTGTTGGCAACCACGTTGTGCCTTCTGGCTTCTGATCCTTGGAGTCATGCTTGGGTTTTAGGCAGAACTCGACCATTGGTCACCAACAGAGTACGTGGGCAGCTGTGCAGGAGAGAAAGCCTTGGCGAGACGATGGTGCTGAGGCGAGACACCGAGCCCTCCGAAGACCAGGTTGAGAGTGTGTGTGTTTGGGTGTGGAAACAGCGCGCGGTCCCGCGTGAAGGGCCGGAGGTGCATTGCGACCCGCGCCGAGGCCTCAATGGAAGGTTTCCACGTGAAGGGAAGCGCAGAGGCCTGCAGAGAGGCCAGTGCCGCTGCGAGAGATGCACGTGTAGAGGCAAAGCTTGGGCTTGGTTCATGTGAGAGAATAGAAACATCAACTTCAGGCTCGCGAGACGGCCAAAGGGCTCTCGCTCGTGCCCTTCTCTGGGCCTCGGTCCCAGTGCTGTGTTCGAATGAAACAAGCAGTAGCAGCCGTACCTTATTCCTTCCCAACACGGATGCGAGGTTCATCCAGAGGCTGGCGCCGTACCTGTCGGCCGGGCTTGCGGCGAGCTGAGCTGAGCTGAGCTCAGATTGGAGATCCTTCTGAGGTTTCGGACTACACAGGCCTCAGGGCTACGTGCAGCAGCGTTCAGGGGACCCTGCACACCAAGGTGCAGCTGTTGCGTGTTCAGTTATGCATTGACCACGACACGCGCCGCAACATGAACCGCGGCGAATTTGCATACTAAACAAGTTCCGACAACATCTAGAACTTAGAGCATTTTCTTCTCCAACATGCCTTCCTGTTGGGGACACTGTCACAGCGTGACACTTTCAAGCAACGTTGTTGAATGTCCCTCAAGCTCAGCGTGTTGGATTGCCAAACAGAAATGACTTTACAAAGGGTTTGCGTACATTCAGTGAGGGGTCTTGAGTGTCCAAGTTTTGCGTCGGGCTCCCAGGCACCTGCAGTCCCTCCCTTTCGGCCTCGAGGGGGGTGGGCGGTCCGAAGTTTCTTCGCAGCCTCCAGCGTCTATTTTGATGTATTTGGAAAATCTGAGGCCCCGCTGCAATCAAGACTCTTTTCGAATGCTCCTCTCAAGCCTAGGAAAGCGCATAATCTATGTCTTTTTTGGCAATCTGTGTCTGTTTTTGGCAATCTGTGTCTGTTTTTTGCAATCTGTGTCTGTTTGTTGTTATCTGTGTTTTTCTTGCCGTTTCTCGAGGTTTTTCGATGTCCGTTTGAGCAAAAAGCGTCGTTTTGGTAATCTGTGTCCTTTTTTGGGTAACTGGTGTCTCTCTTTTTTTGGGTAATCTTGGACGTAAAACAGTACTCGAACTCTTTTCCGATCATTGTTTTGCTGGCTGCACGCGCTTTTGGACCCACTGAAACTTCTGCTGGAGGCTTCAAATCCCATTCAGAGAGCTAGTCAAACAGCTGGAATTTGAACTACGACGGTTTTGCTGAAACAGGAGCCGAGCGCGCGTTTCGACCCCCGGAAATTTGTCTGGGAGCTTCAGACGCTGTCGAGTTCCTGGCAGTCAGGTACTGGAAAGGGTGAAAATCAGTTCGTGGAGTGTGGAGGTTGTGGCAGGCTATTGGGAGATATTGGGAGTACCTGCCTTCAAATTTTGAAGAGAGACTGCAAGCCTCCAGAAAAGGTTTCGGGGGGTCGAAACGTCTGCCGAGGCAGCGACACCATGTTCTAACTCAAGCTAAAGGATTTGTTTAACCTCCATTTGCAAAATCCCCCCAGCTAGCTTGGGGACTTCAGACCCTGCGCCCCAGCGCAATCTGCTCTAGGGTCTGACATTATAGCGGGGGGTCAATCCAGACCC